GAAAGAGTTTTTCTGTGAATTTTTTTAAAAAGTTTATATTTTTGAGCCCAGCAAATGGCATACAGGTTACATGGCTGGATTCCCACATGGCTGACTGTAGTTCAAGTCCTGGACCCGGTGGCTTGAAACTCTAGTTAGACACACGTCCCAAGAGGAAAATGGAGATGGGATTGCAACATGACCATCACCCATTGGGGGTGATTTCACACCCTCTAGCAAAAGTCTCTCCAAAAAGTTTTTTTGTTGTTGTTGTTCTATGAGTAAGAGAAACCCAAGAGAGAGCCAGAAATACATACTCTTGACAGTGTTCTCACATCATGATCCACCCCACCCCCAGCCAACCCGAATCATAGGTACATGCATGCCTGGCATACTCAGGAAGATCTCTAGGTGCACACTGGTAACTTTCTCATGCAAGTGTGCTTTGTAGAACTTGGCATTTTACAGCTGTGTGACCATTCAGCTCCTCCACGAACTTTTTGAAGACCCCATACTTAAATATTCGGTACCACACTAAGATTAAGAAATGACGCTTTTTCTATCTTGTTACATAGTAGATGTGATGCACATCCATGGTGAGCAAAAGGTCTAAAGGCTACTGTTACCTCTTTTTGCACTCTAGGGTTTGTCGTCTTGGCAAAACAGGTCTGATTTTGTGTGTGTGTGTGTGTGTGTGTGTGTGTGTGTGTGCTTGCTGGAAAGACAGATGAAGACAGAAACAGAAGGAGAGAAATTGCCCCCCGGGGGGATGGCCATGCTACAATCCCTTCTCCTCCATTCTCCTCTGGATTTTTTGGCACACACACACGTACACCCTGTGTGAGTTTCAAGCTGCCAGATCCTGGACTTGAACTGCAGTAGGCTATGTGGGAGTCCAGTGACTTAGTCATTATGCCATCTGCTGGTCCAAGTCAGAAATTATCTTTCTCATAGAATAATCATTGTCTATTATAAAATTTTTAATGCATTTATTCCTTCACTAAATATTTCTAGATTACCGTATAAAGTATTGTGCTCTTAGATACTGAGAATGAATGGTAAATACAGTGTTCCCTTTACCATCATAAAGCCCACCTGTAACTGGAGAGACGTTAAATAAAAATGGCACCATAGTGGGCCAGACAGTGGCACAGAGGTAGAATGTGGTGCTCTGCAAGGCTGACTGACATGGGAGGGTTCCGGTTTGGCATCCAGAGACCTTCCCTAGTACACGAGGCATGTGTGTGTCCATGATCCAGGGCTGGCTTAGGCTAATTGCACATTCAGACCAAGTTGGGGGTGCCATCCCTCTCTCTCTCTGTCTCATACACACACACATGCGTGCACACTCATGGAAGAAATAAACTTTAAAAAATGAGTCAGTAGTATATAACTAGAGGGAAGGGGGATATGAGAGTGTTTAGCAAGAGAAATCATATTTCTCTATGTCCTTCGCAGCAGCTTCATGGGCAGGCAGGCTTCGAGGTGTCACCTCTCATTTACAGATAAGATCCATACTTAGCAAGGTAGAGTGACTTCCCCAAGGATCACTGAAGGAGGAAATTGAAAGTAGAAACTAAAATCAGGTTTCTGTCTTACTCCTAGTTCCCTTTACATACTTCATGACAGTTTGCTAATATTCGATGAAGACTGGCCCTCTCTTCATCAGTTTCAGTTACATCATTATTGATTGAAATATAATTTAGTTATGTAGACATTTTTACAACTGGGTATATCCAGATCTCCTGGTATAAAGCAATCTGTTGTGTTTCCACAGCAGAACGTCACTTGAAAAACAAAACCCAGATACCACTGAAAGATGTTCAAGCTCGTAGTGTGCAGGATGTTCTTACATTATGAACCAGAAGTACTTTTACTCCCAGACTTACGTTTGTTTATGTACTCATTCTTAAACATTTAGTGGGTGCCTGCTATAGCTAAGGGGCTGTTTTAGGTACTGGATGCAGGAGTGAACAAAATAGGCCCAAATACCTGACCCTGTAGAGACTGCATGGTCGTGGGAAACAGGAGGGGAAGGACATCTGACAAAGCAGTTACACGAGAAGTTAGTGCATCAGCTGTGGGATACAGAGGTAATGGATTCATTTACATATGACGTGTCATTTACATACGCCTGCCTGAGGCTATACTGGTGGATGTTGACTGGCACCCACCCCAGTCCAGGTGCCAAGAGGAGATAAAGGCGTGCAGGCAGCTGCTGCACTGCAGTGGAGGGGAGTGTGCCTGACGAGGAGTAGCCTCCAGGTGCACTTTTCACGACACTGTCAACATGTTAAGTTCTTTTATGATTATTTCTGCCTTCAGGAAAATGATTCGGCTATTAGGGAATGTGTGCAGAATAGCAGGCTTGCCATGATGGGAAGAGCGAGCACTAGCTAAATGGATTCAGATCTGACTATCCCCTATTGGTTATGTGAACCTGGGGGGAGTTCTTTAGATTCTAATCCACCGACTTCACATATCAGGGAGAATTCCTCCTTCAGAGGGTGATTGCGAGGACTCAGTGAAATGGTGTACTTGACTCAGTGTACCTCACTGATAGTACTTGATCTTCTGAGGTACCAGAGGTAGGATAGTGTGGTGGTAAAATTGTGGACTCAGGAGCCTCTACTCCGGTTCCATCATGAATAGCCGCTTAACCCTTACTAGCTAGGTAACCTAGATACAGTTTTTAATTCAGGTGAAAGAGAGAATACTTAGGGTGCCTGGCACATCGGAAGGGTTTTGAAAATGTTAATTAGTCTAATTGTATATATTAAAAATGAGTACAGTTTCTATCACATGGAAAGTCCTAAATAAATGTTAGTTCCTTCTCTTGTTTTCCTCTGTATATACCAATATATTTAGGTGGTAAATTTAAAATACTCTAGAATTTGAGTGCAACACTGAAATGTGACACCACATTTTCACCCCTAAAGTAGCTGCAGAATCATCTCTGTTAGATAACTCTTAAGTGATGAGGTACATTAAACACTAAATGTTTGGCAAATTGAAGTCTTCAAGTTCCACACTAGATTGCTCAGTTACTGTCAGATTGTGAAGTCCAGCCTCAGTGGTGCAGGCAATAGTGTAGTGAACTACAGTGCTCGAAGCCTTACGGCCACGTGTGAGCTCGGATCCTGAGTTAGCCTGAAAACACTCCAGGTGTGCTCATGCCCAAGGTCCTGAACTGTAGGACTGAGGAAAGGGCATCATGGTGTGACAAGACCTATCAAGTGGACAAGTGTACCTGTCTGTCTTTTATTTTTTTTTTAGCTAGACTTTTTCTATAGGGCACATGCGCTCACCCGAGAGATATAGACAGACAGAAAGTCAGAAATCACCTCCTAGGGGAGATGGCCATGCCACAATCCCTTCTCCATTCTCCTTGAGATTTTGGGCCTGCATACACACATACCCGGCATGAGTTTCAGGCTTCCAGGTCCCGGACTCAAACTACGGTTGATGACGTGGAAGTCCAGTGACGTAACCGTTACACCATCTAGTCTTGCCCCTGTCTGTCTTAATCTCTTTATTTCTTTCTTTCTGTCACACACTTGCTCTCTGTCATGAGTAAAATTAATTTATTATAAAATTTTTTAAGACTGGTTATTGTTGAAGATATTTTAGTAGCTAAGGAGGTTACTTGTCACTGATTTTAGATTTTGCACGTGTATCATACTGAAGCAGTTACAGGAAGATTAGTGCTAAAAAGAAACTGAGGAAGCCTGTTAGTGTCTCGTTTGTTTTTCAGTATTTTCTGTACCATCACAAATAGCATTTTAGCTTATGTTTTCCATATTTGGAGTTAGAGTTGTATTGTGAAAGTATAGGATTGTTCTCTGAAGTATTAAAAATCACTTTAGACTTTATTGCAAATTAAGTTTAAATTGCGTGACTCAGTCTTTCACTTGGCATTTTATAGGGGTCCACTAAATGAAGATGTTTTTGCTACCAGAATAAAAAAGAACCACAGTAATGACAAAGACATAGCAGAATTACAAGAACAAATTCACAAACTTCTCTTGCAGGTAAAGTGAGAGATTTTTAAAAACAGACACAAAAATTTCCCATAATTGTGTTTTGTGTTAACATTCATTAAAGAGAGTTTTATTTTTGTACAGAGAGAGTCTCTGTACATTTTATAAATTTTTGTTGTTCTCTTTTTGTTTTTAATTGGAATTTAATTTTTTGTTCCTCTTTCTATGTTAAAAACACAGAATATTCTTTAAGAGTCCATTTGTAGACAGTGAACAGAGCCACAGTAAGCAGTAGGACAGAGAAGTTATTCTTGTATGAGAAAATTCTGCTTGTATTCCAAATGCCACCAGTGTGCACAAACTCTTTTGGCGCTGGTGTTTTTTTTAATAATTTTAATAATTTTAAAGGTGTGAGACAAAGGGCAGTAGATCTCAGTATCTCATTATAAGGTCAAATCAGGAAAAGAAATACCAGAGATCTACCAGAGATCACTCAGTAAGCTTGTGGAAAATAAGAGCTGATGGTGTCACACATCTTAGCCCAGTGGTTTTCAGATGTCTTTCCTAGAGTTTCAAGGTTTCGTGAACTATTATGAAGTAATTTAAAAATAGGGTGGTGTATATGTCATTTGAGTTGTTCAGAGGATTGTGGGGTATTATTAAGCTGATTAACATTGTCTTCCCCCACAACTTCTTTGACTAGCTATGCCTTTTCCCCTTAGAATAGTAATTAGACATTTTTACATAAATGAGTCAAACTTCATGTATTTAATTTGTTCTCCTTAAACTCATCATAAAGAACTAGAGTTTATTTTCATATTTTTAAAAATCAATTATTCTGTGGCTTTAAAAAATATATTGTTCCAATGTCAAATGTACCTAGATAGAAAATTAGACTTTGCCCTTGAGAATCACTGACTTGGCAAAGGAATGTCTCTCATGTCAGCCTGAGAGTTTAGAAGCCTCAACTTTCTCATACCTAATTCAGGATTTTGGAAATTTTCATCTTAATTTTCTGATGATTTTAGGTAAACTCTGAGGTAGATATTTAGATAACCAATAACTCCGAAGTTGGTCTTGTCTTTTCCTTTAGCCCGTTCACGCGAGTGCTTCCAGTGGCTATGGGAGCCTGGGCAGCAGCGGTTCCCAGGAGCATCACATTAGCGTGGCATCTTCCAGTGAGTGCAGCGGGCATGGTGCAGAGGAGCCGCAGAAGGAACCGGTGAGTGGGCAGGTGCTGTGTTTTGGTATAGGCAGCCTTTTCTCTGTAATATGTCTATGCCAGATCTGCACATGTGACCTCCTAGTATGTGTTCTCGACTTGAAGATCTCAACTGATTATAGACATTTTAATCCATTTTGGTTTGGAAAAATGTATGTGAAAAGGAAATCTTACTCCTGGACAGTGATATTTGAATGAACTGTGTGCTTTCTGAGAATTGACATGTTGTGAACAGACTTACTTAACGTTTCACTGGGACTGGTGTGCCATGGCATGTTGGGAAACTGAATGTAAGTGATAACTGTGCTTTTAGTTATTTTGTCTTCAGAGAACCAAAATCAAATGTGTTTTATTTACTTACCTTTTATTGAACAGTTTTACACCTTTAAAACATATTTTATCATTCTTTTTCCTAAGATGACCTTGAAGCAGGTCTACGCCAGTGTAAATAAAATTAAGAATCTAGGTCAGCAGCTCTACATTGAGTCGATGACCAGATCATCAATCAAGCCAGTGAAGGGAACACACACGGGACTGCTCGGTGGTGGTGAGTCAGCGGGACAGCCCCCCAGGTCTTCTTTTCTGCATAGACATGACATAAGTGAGCCAAGAGCATAGATTGCTTTGCAGATTTCCTTATTTGTCCAGGTACCTGTAGTAATATTAATAATAATAATGGCAGCAGCAAATATTATTCTGAAAGCTAGAAGTTATTAGAATGTAGTTTCAATTACACTTTTACTGAAGAATTAACTTTCATGATAATACCAGCGAGTTCAAAGATTTTCTTGTTTGTATAAGCTGTCTGCAAACCAAAGAAGTTGATTTGGGGCCAGTCCCATACAATAGCCTGATGGGTAAGAGAGCAGAATTCCACGGGGCTGACTGTGATTCAAATTCTGGCCCTGGTGGCTTTGAAAAACACACAAGGCATGTGTGTGCACATGCCCAAAGCCCTGACAAGCACATACATACTCTGGCAGTTAAACAGTATTTGAGGACCAGCCAGTGGTGTGGTGGTTAAGGTGTCTAGATTCCACATGATCAACTGCACAATTCAAGGTCCAGACCCAGTGGTTAAAAAATAGACCAAGTGTGTGCACAGAATTCCTAAGAAGAGAATGAAGGAGAAGTGGCATGGGGGTTCCCCCTGGAGGGTCCACAAGCATTCCTTACTTGCTCTCTCTCTTTCCAGTGAGCACACACGCCCTGTACCAAATTTTTAAAAAAGAGTTTTGGACCAACTGATGGCGTGGTTAAGGTGGCTGGATCTGCCTGGTAGTGAAGGTGCTGGACCTGGTGGCTTGAAAAACACACCAGGTGTGTGTGCATGCATGCCCAAAATCCCAAAAGAAGAAGTGGAAGGAAAGGGATTGCAGTGTGACTGTCCCCCTTCACATTTTCCTTCTCAGTCTCTCTCCCCAGCAAGGAAATATGCCCCCACAGAAAAATTTTAAAAAAGGAAAGAAAATGAAAAAAAGTTGAATTTAAAATGCATTTCAGATACTAAAGTATATAAAAATAATAATCCCTTTCCATCAGACAGTGGGGAATATCTATGACCTTAATTGAATGAAAATCTTTGGCTTTTTTCTTGATACATATTATTTTTCTCTAATACGAAGTAAAGGATATTTCAAAATAATTGGATTAAACATATTAATTGGCATTATTTGGAAAAGTTAACCTAGTTGCATTACATAGCAGAGGAAAATTCTATAATGTAGAGATCAAATTAGGTTGGCTTTTTAATTTCTTACCCCAAATGTTAATGTAATTTTGGAAGATGTGATAGATTTTGGTTACCTAAATTGTTAGATAAATATAGACATTTCACACAGTAGAGGTGAAATTTCTTTCCCGGGGTTAATAGTAGTAACAATAAAAATAATAGTTGTAGGGGCTGGCAGGTGGCTTGGTGGTTAAGGCACTGGACTCCCACCAAGCTGACTGATTTGAGTCTCAGACCTGGTAGCTTGACTTGCCTTCTTACTTTCCCTTTCTCTCTCTCTCTGTCTCTCTCTGGTCAAAGTAAGAAATAACAACAATAACAAAGTTAAATAAATACATAATTCTTTATTTTAAAAAAGTAATAGCTGTATTTTTCAGGAGTCTCATGTTTTATAGCACGGAAAAAGTAAAACTTATTCTCATAGATGATATCATTGGGAGCCTTAGTCTGTGCTACTGTAACAGAATTTCTAAGACTAGATATTTTATAAACAACAGAAATGTGTGTCTTACAGTTTTGGAGACTGGGCAGTGGAACACTAGTTCTGGCAGGTCTCATATCCAGTGAGGGCTCAAGTCTGTGCTTCCAGGATGTTTCCTTGAACACCATGTCTGCTGGAGGAGACGTGCTCTGTCCTTAGATGACAGAGGGACTGCGTCCAGCCCTTTTTTAAAGTTGTTGTCCCATCCATGAGGGCTCTGCTATAATGACAGACACTTCCTAAGGGCCCCTTCTTAATAATGCCACACTGGTGTTTAAGTTCCAATGTATGACTTTTAGAAGGACACAGCATTTCGCCCAAAGCAGAGCCTGTATGACTCCTTCCACATATAGAAGTCTTGCCCTTTACGTTTCTCTTGTCGGCTTTATGGGAAGTTTAGCATTCCATTTGTTTCTTCTTCTATTACATGTAAGCTTACAAGATAGGGAAAAACTGCCTTTTTTCCTCCTCAAAACCAGCAGATTCACTGTCTGCAGAATTTATTTTAAATATTATTCTTGTTATTTGTCATTATCCCATGTCCTTGTAGAGAAAATTGTTTTAGGAGGCCTTAAAGACAAAATTGCTACTTTTTTTTTCCCTGCCTGATTCAGTCAGTCCTTCTCCCGCTACCTTGCCTGAGGTCTCATATTAGTATCACAATTTTACACCTGACCTGTTTCATCTCATTATCTTTCTTTCTCATCTCCTGCATTACTGTTTCTTGTTATCTACCACTGATCTGGTAATCTGATGGGTAGTATCTTTTTTTGAAGGCTGACATCATCATTCGTGATTTTATAAAATGTAAGCCACAGGTAAATGTGTGTGTCTATGCTGCTGCTTTCTAAACTAAAATGCCCCACTACTTAGATGCATATGCATCTCACAGCACACATAGGATGTGACTTTGGGGAAGAAGGAAGATCTGTTGCCATTTAGTATAGCCTTGAAAACCCAATGTTTCTTGGATATCTTGATTTTATTAACTGTTTGAGACATAAGTTGTTTTGTTTTTTTTGTTTTGAGAGATTTTTACTACAGGGTGCATGAACTTGCTGAAGAGACAGAAAGCTAGAAATCACCTGCAGGGGGATGGTCATGCTACAATCCCTTCTCCTCCATTCCCCTCTTGGGATTTTGGGTATACACACACATGCACCAAGCATGAGTTTCAACCTGCCAGGTTCAGGACTCAAACCATTGTCCACCCATATGGGAGTCTAGTGTCTTAACCACTACATCACCTGCTGCCTCTGAGACCTACAAGTTTAAACAGTGATAAAGAAACTGTCTCTCTTTGAAAGAAACAAAGGTATGCCTTAAAAATATTACAGTGTTAATGTTAGAAATTGAGAGGAGATATACACCAGTGAAAAAAATGTACGGTGGTCATCGCATGCATGTTTTATGGACAGAGTGTTAGAGCTGACACTTAAGAACTTACGTTTATATTTTACCTTTCTTAATCAAGGGCGGGTAATACTTTTTGTTTATAGTTTTATTTTTCTTGGTAAGGTTATATAATATTTTAAAGTGGATCCAGAAGGATGGGTTTTTGTTTTTCGTTTGTTTGTTTAAGACATGGTCTCACTGTGTTGTGATCCTCTTCTCTCACCCTCCTGTATTGCTGAAATTATAGGTATATTCCACCATAGTCACCCTTATAGCTGTATAGGAATTGAGCCCAGGCCTCCTGTGTGGTGCCAGTCTTTGGAATACAGTTTCTTAGCATCACATGCCACTGTGGTTAGCCCAAGAAGGGAGATTTTTCAAGTTAACGTAGGAGGGCAAGGCAATAGAGAGATATCAGGCACTTTCAGCTACATGTACATATGCCAGCCACAAGAGACCTAATTGGAGAAACCCAGGAAAACTGAGTGATCTGTGTCTGGGTGATAGAATGCCTGAGTGCAAACAGATGACCCATGAACTGAACCATGGCAGAGTGAGAGTACTTCCAGTTTCTGCTGAGGGATGTGGAGAGCCAAAAAGAGCATCATTGCAGGCTTACACAAATGAAAAAGCCAGGCAGACCACAAGTTCATGACCTTTCTTTGCAGCCATCAGAGTGCAGAGGTTACAGGGAGGAGTTACATGCTTGCAGGGAGGAATGAGACATGAGTACTTGATTACGGCATACAGGCTGAGTAAGTGAGTAAGGGAGAACCAAAAGTTCAAAGTAGGATAGACTTACTCTGTGAGAAAAAGCAAAAAAACTCCAGTAAACAGCTGCCACCTGAAGCACAAAGTATAGTGAAAGGAATTTGAAAAGTCTGTTTATAAAACTTTAGCATCAACAGACTCAAACTTGGCTTAAAATGTAATTAGACTAATTCATACACAGACTTAATAGAAGGTAAGGCATGCCAGTGTCCTACACAAGTTACTCAGTTCTCAATAAGAAATTATGACGCATATGGAAAGGCAAGGGAGAAGAAACCTCCCAAGAGACAAAACAATCCTCAGAACAAGACAAAGATATGCACAGAAGTTGAGAAGTGATAGGAAACTTAAAATAATTATGAATAACATTATATATTATCAACATTAAAGGTTCGTAGTTAAAGTGGGCAACATGCAAGACAAGGTGATCAATCTAGCATAGAAATAGAGCATTAAAGAAAGAGTCAAATGAAAATGTTAGAGATGGCTTTCATGGGCACTCAATACAACCAAGAAAAGAATTGGTAAACTCAAAAACAGATAACTTCAGAAATTCAGATCAGAACAGAAAAAGAAGAATGAAACAAACAGAATAGAACATCCTAAGAATTTGAGAGTAATATCAAACTAACATAAGTGTTACTGGAATCCTACAAGAAATAACTTGAAGAAATAGCAGCCAAGAATTTTCCAGCGATCCAAAGGACATCAAGTCAAGTCAATATAGAAAAAAAAGAAAAGAAACCACATCATCTTATCACCTTCAAACTTCTGGAAACCAAGAAAGAAAATAATGAAAACAGCCAGAGGAAAAAAAGACTACATATAGAGAAAGATAATAATTACAGTAGACATTTCTTCAGAAACTGCACACTGAAAAGACAGTAGAGTAGCCTCTTTGAAGAAAAGAAACTTTTAACACAGAATTCTAGACCTAGTGAAAAATATTCTTCCAGAAATGAAGATGATACAAAGAGTTTCTGAAACAGAAATTGTAGAAATTATTGCCAGCAGGCTTCTGTAGGAAATGCTAATGGAGGGCCAGATCGTGACCCAGTGGTCGTGCACATTCCACAAGGCTGGGTCCATGTGAGAAGGTTTCGGGTTTGCATCTAGGAACTCCCTAGACACACTGAGGACACAGTGCCCATGATCTGGGGTGGGCTGG